CCTTATGGCCCGGACATGCTTTGACGTGTTAGGATATCTCCATCAAGATGATTTAGGTTATTCGTGGGCCCTGTGTGTCGACGAGCTGCAACCCATTCAGGACGTGAGAGACTCACTCTCTTTCTGATGGCTTAGCGTGAGTTTTGAAGCAATAGGACTGTTCCCACACGAAATAGCCTTCATTTGATTGTCTATGCCCCAACTCAATGATAATATAAGCAAAACTCTTTTATTGAGAGTATTTTTGGGTATCCCCCAAGATGTAATTAATCATTAGGAATACGTTCCTCTGGAAGTGCTCTTAACCACAGAACAATTACATACACCTGATTCTCTGGTTATGAGTAGTCTACGTAGATACTTCTTTTGCGGATATTGGTTTGAGGTGCCTCTGCCCGATCTTGTTTCGGCGGACATTCTTGACCTATCATTGCGAGGTTTATCGCACGTAGACTCTCAACATTTTACTTTTTCTTTTGTTTGTCATCTTGTTGTATGTCTCTTCTTAGTCGGTTTCTCTCCTCTTCGAATCATTGATATGATTCGGGAGGGAGATTTATTCGAATAAGGGAAGTATACGACGATCGACAAGCTGACGACTCCTAAAATAAATAAAAAAAGAGAAGGAACAGAAACATTCTCCTTTATCTGGTGAAAGATGACACATCTCACCCTAGTTCGTTCCTTTTCTCTTTTTTATTTTAGAAGGAGTCGTCAGCTTGTCGATCGTCGTAGGACAATTGGAGGCTATGTGATCGTGGTTGTGGCATCTGAAACACTTCCTCGTTGGTACTGTATTGGAGGAGCAACCTTTCTCTTGTTTCTTCTCACTTCCTCGTCCAGGCTTGTTAGTTCCTTCTGAGGTACCATTGTATGTCGTGGTAGTTGTAGGTGATTGTTTGACTTATGGTTACTGCCTGAAGGACGAATGTTGCCTGCTCTGTTCCTTCTGTCTTTCCACGTTCAAGGCTAGAGTTCGAACATTTTTTATTGATTAATAAGGATGCAACTGCACCACGTTGTTAATAAATGGCTTCATGCCCCCCAAATAATGGGCTATGGCATGCTCCTCTGGCTCGACCAAATCACACCATCTGCAATTGATCAAACTACTCTGTGAACTCTTCTACTGACATATCCCTCTGCTCCAGGTGGTGGAGCCTTAGAAACATATCTTGACGGTAGTGGGGTGGGAAGTATTTCCTTTACATCGCTTTGTGCATTTTCTTTCACCAGGTATTCTTATCGTTGTCTTACATTTTCCTCTGTTTCTGTAAGACTGTAATTTATCCCACTATAAAGAGGCACATTTTTTCAACTTGATCGCTATTAATTTGACCCTCTTATCCTCTGGTACATCTTTATACTTGAAGATCCGTTCAACGGATTGCAACTAATCAATAAAGTCTTTTGGATTCATACCTCCCTCAAACTCTGGCAGATCTATTTTGATGTCGAAGTCTCTGTGCCCTCTAAATTATTTCTCCTCTCCGAAATTCTCCCTATGGAATAGATTCATATACTCTTCTCTAGGTTTCTGATACTAGATTTTAAAACATTGTGGTTTGTCTTCTTCATCGTTGAAATTCTCCCTATGGAAGGGATTCAGATCCCCCTCTCTTTCTCTCCTTCGACTCTCCAGATCTCTGTCAAGGGTAACCTCCACTTAGGTCAGCTCATCAATCTCCACAAGTCTCTGTTGAAGGCGAAGCTCTCGTCGTATCTCTTCTCGGGTAGGCTCGAGCATATATTTTTTTGGTGGCATGATTAGAATTTGTGATTAGTGGAAGTGGAAAGGATTTGGTGGTAGGAAAGAATTTTTTTTAGTTTATGGCAGATACAAGGAAACCCAAGGATATGATTGCAGTTAGGCTAGTTCTGATACCAAATGATACATAACTAGTTCAGAACTCGGCAAAAAAGGAAAGTAAACTTTATTAAGCACGAAATTAGTAGTTATGACACAACACAAACTAAAAAGGAAAATACAACAACACTAATCTCCAACTATGTCTGGATAAGAAGATCAGAGAGCGGGGAAGGTGCCCATGAGGGAGTTGAGTGGGATGTGGCGATAAGGGCTAGGGAAGGTGGAAGGAGGTTGCGGCACTTCAAGAAGGTGACATGGAGGTGGCACGGTGGCTGTTAAGGGGCTCGAAAGTAGGCGGGGTTGTAGAAAAACAGGTGACAAGGCTAAGGAGGGGGAAGAGATGGGCTTGCAACAGGATTTGGGGAGGGTGGGAGCGTGTAGGTTCATGGGTGGAGATCTAGAAAGCAGGGATTTGCTGCAGGCAAAGGGGTGGTTGGCGGTTTGAGGCTTGGAAGGGGAAAAAAGGAAGATGGTTGGCGGCTAGGAGAGGTAGGGAGGATGGGAGGGAGGAGATTGGGAAGAATACAAAACAAGCTTGGAGCAAAATAATATCAAAGCACCACCCGTCGTTGGATGCAACCCTAACAAGGGAGAATGAGACTTCAAGGAGAATCTATAATTAACAACAAAACATAACATATCCCTAATTCTAAGAAAACAACACATACATAGACTCTAAATAGGAAAAACAAAAATTGAAAGGTAGGTTTTGAAATTCAGTGAATTTTATAAGCCAAAATTATGCATCGTAAAGCATTGCACGTCTCATCACCAACTTATAAATCTTTCCTTTAAGCTTATGCTGTACTTTTTTGTCACACAATAGGCCTGACGCATTCCTCTTTCATCATCCAACTCGAATTCTAGTAATAACATCCCCATCTATATCACCATCAATTCGAACAATAAACCTGAGATATCTAAAACATTCAATCATTTTAATGATTTGATCACCTATTGTTACAACTCTGTCACTAGATCTTCTACCACTAAAATTTCATTCCATGTATTTAGGTTTACACCTACTCAAATGAAGGCCTTTAGACTCTAAACTAGACCTCTATAATTCAAATTTTTCCCAAACTTCTTTAGTATTATCCACAAGAAGGATATCTTTAGCGAAACGCATACACCAAGGTACAACCTTTTATAAATATCCAGTGAGAGTATCCATAACTAAAGCAAAAGGATATGGGTTTAAAACCGATCCATGATATAATCCAATTGAAATAGGAAAATGCTTGGTGAGTTCTCCTATTTGAACACAAGTAACAACTTTAGTATACATATCTTTAATGACTTGAATATAAATCATATCAACATAAAACTTGAATATAAATCATATCAACACCTTTCTTTTCTAGAACTCTCCAAAGAACTCTTGGAACCTTATCGTAAGTTCTTTCTAAATAAATAAAAATCATATGTCGATCCTCCTCATTCTCTCTGTACTTCTCCATCAAACCTTTCAATAAATATATAGCTTCCATGTAGACTTGTCTGGAATAAATCCAAACTGATTATGAGAAATCTTTGTATCACATCTTAATCTATGTTTAATAACTCTCTCTCATAATTTCAATATATGGCACATTAATTTAATTCTTTTATAATTTGCACACTCTTGTGTATCCCATTTATTCTTAAAATTGAGGACCAAAATACTCTTCATTCACTCATCGTGCATCTTTTTAGTTTTAAAAGTATTAAGAATTTAGTAAGTCAAGAACTTCTCAAATCTCCTAAATGTTTTCACACTTATATTGGGAAACTATCAGGTCCTGCTGATTTTTCACAATTTATTTTCTTTAAAGCCTCCTTGACTTCCTTTTTACTAATGCAATAGTAAAAATAAAATGTTTTATTATTATTAACGATATTAAGATCACTCAAGTCGATCATATTTTCAGACCACTTCATTGAATAGTTTATCAAAATATCTCACTCACCTATGTTAAATATCCTCATATAAGAAAAGTACTTTTTGATTTTCATATTTAATACACTTTAATTAAATCTTTACTTTTCTTTTATCTTTGTTCGGCTAGTTATACATATTTTTTTCACTCTCTTGAATATTAAATATATTATAAAGAAAACTAAAAATATAATTCTTAGCATCACAAATAATTTTCTTAAACTCCCTACAAACCATCTTATATTTTTTCAAAGTGTCTAAGTTTTTACATTTAAACAAATTTTTATAATAAAAGTTTTTATATTTTATTTTATACTAGTCAGAAAATCATTCATGAAAATTACCGAAGGAATAATAACCATGTTAGGTTTTGGATGAAGAAACATAGGAATGGTTTCAGCTTCGTTAAGGAAATTTATAGACCATGAAAGCCAACTTTCATTAATCTGTCGTGAAAAGCCAACAATTGAAATAATTTAAGGTTTTGGTATGAAAAGTAGATTGAAAAATTTTCACTTTCAATAAAATTTGATGAACTAACAGACTTGTTTGAGACGGACTTTTGCATCAAATCTCAATTTTTTTATCAGCAAGGGTTGGAGTGCATTGGTGGGGGAGCATTTATTCTTAGAAGGGATTTGAAGAATTTATCAGCTTTATTTGAAAATGCATCGTTAAACACCGACGGTAATGAAGCTATATGCAATCATGCAGATGAACAAATTATTGTCGTTTTTTACTCCTTTTGTCGAATACAGGCATCGCCGTTAATTAACTAATTGGATTCGGAAACTTTTGGTCCCTAATAAAACTGAAATAATATGTTTGTTTGGCTAGTTAAAGAAACTTCCTATTAAGGTTAATCTTTAAAAATTGAGGATGGTTTTATCTAGGATGCGTGCTACGTGTAATACCAGCGTGGTTTGACGATTGTAATCATCAACCTGGACAAATAATTGCAAGTTTGTTGAAGTAATGGTGGCAGGCTATGCAATTGCATAATCTTCATAATCACCAAAGTGGTTGAAAGGGATTGTTTAATATTTCTGAAGGTCAATAAGTAGAAGTTAATGTCTGACAACCAAGAATTAAAACGTGCTTGAGATTGAAAACAAGCAATTTGTGCAAAAACATGTGTCGTAACTAGTCTGATTATAAAAAATTGATTAATGTTCCAGTCAACTAAAATAATAAAAAAAGCAGATAAAATACCTGCTGTCGTTCTGCCACTACCTCCATACCATGTTATAGTCCATCCACCACATTGAAAACCAATATCATCAGCATGCTGTCCAGAAACAAGAATTCTTCCAGCATTTTTGTCTAGAGGAAGAAATGGCTTGTTTGTATCCTTCCCATTTTTTAGCAGAACTAAAGATTTACGTACAGCCTCACGTGCCAGTTCAAGATGTTCCTGAAGATACACATAGTAAGTTGATATGACGGGCAAAGTTACTATGCATCAAGGTCCTTTAAAATACATTTGTTTCAGCAAGCAAACTTACCATTCATCAACGACTTCCATACATTTATGTTAAAAAATCTATCCCTTATGGCTGTAATTGTTCTAGAAAAATGGCCCTCGAGTGAGTATAGGCAAAAAGAGAGGAGAAAAACCAATAGAGATTTTACATATTCTACCATATAAACATCTATTTTGAGAATCGGTTAACTTACAGCGGTGTAGTATTGTATCATTAGGAGTACAGCACATTAGTTTTTGGCAAATCATCTCAAGATTCTTAAACATTTTCATGTTAAAACCAGATATGCCAATATCCCATAGAAAGAAAATGACTTCTGGTTTATAGCTGGCCATGCTTGCACAAAGAAGCAAACTGATGTGCTTCAACAGAATATGCCTACGTCCATATATTGGAGAAAATCCATTATATCCTAAGGCTATGCGAGGAAAACAACCATGAAAATAAGACAAGTAGCCAAAGCAGAACAAGTAAAAATTAAGACAGAAGTCTCTAGATTATTATGTTCAAAGTATCAAATTTGCTTTGATAATAGCTTGAGTTATAATTGACCTCTCTCTCTCTCTCTCTCTCTCTCTGTCTTTCTCTCTCTCTGGTTTGAATTAAATAATTGGCTTACGGCACTGGAACTTTTGTAAACCGATTTAGCATATTTGAAAGCTTGTCTTTTATCAAAAGAGTTTATTTATTACTCAAAAAACAAGAGGAATTACAAAGCACACTTCAAAGAAGCGGGAAGATTACAATGAGAAAGTAAAAGGTAAAATCTTCTAGGACCTATATCTCTAAACTAACAAAAAGTTGCTTATTACATATAACGTGAATCAATGTTGTTAAAAGAGTGTTATAAGTGAAGCGAAGTGATGCCCTTAACTTGTGCATTGCTTGCCAGTGAAGCAAAAGCGCACAACAAAAGCGGTCGAGTTGCATTGCTTTGTGTCGTGCCTTAGCATTATGCGCTCGATTCCTGCTTAAAACAAAATACTAGTTCAAATTTTAAAGTTAGGTTCAATATCTACCATAATAGATAGGCATGATTCTTTGTTTTCCGTGACTATATCTTCTTGTTATTTACGTATTTGCTTGTTGGTTATCTTTTAGCTATAGCTCTAATAGGTCTTCTTTTATCAAGGCTGTAACAAATATCTCCTTTTGAACAAATTATTAGCTCATTTGGTTATATTCATTGGTCATGACCTATATACGTAGCTATTATGTCATCCCATCCAAAGATCATATGGATCTTGTAAGCCATTCACACTCATTGAATCTGAGTCCCTCTTGTTTTTACTGGCCCGGTTACTGCTTCCAGAAATATTGCCACGAGTTGTTGCTTGTAAAGCTCAAAGTATTGAATTATGTTCTAATTTAATACTTCATGAGGGCATCCCCTTAATAAATCTTATAAGAAGAAAAAAAAAAACTCTCAAGAATCTAATTGCATTCTTTGTACAAGAGAGTAGGTATGCGTGTGCGTGCGTGTGTGTGTGTGTAAAGAAAATCAGGGAAAAATAATTGGGGGTCGATGATTCTATAGGAAGGCATATATATTACAATCTGAGAGTTATAGAGAAACATATCCAACTATATAAAACCTTGATTTGTGTGCCTTTGGAGTAGTAAAATTTTAACACTGCTTCAAACTGGATGATAGATATCTAATATTTCAAGTTTTCCTATAATATTTTTATTATTGAAGTGCAAAATCTTTTGATGAATATGTGGTCAATGTCAATTGATTTCCTGTGGGCATATGTGAAGTAAAAATCAAGCCAATTTTTAATTTCTCTTTTATAAAGTGTATATAACCACAACATATTTAGTATGGTTTTGTTGTACAATTTTGTGTATAATATTGATATATAATTTCTTATCATATTATATTTTCATTGGCTCTTTTCACTTGATTTTTAAATCCTCTAATATGATTTTGATTCATATAAGTTCAAAGATCATTTGGGCAATGACTCTAAACTCTGCTTAGACACTTGATCTTGATATCATAGGTTATTTCTTACTTTTCCAAGTTATGCGATTTTCTCCTAATGCAAAATTGCCTTGGGTAGATCATTTATCCATCAGTTATCCAACATATTCACATGTCCTTCAATTTGTAGGATATCATGTCTTTTACAAAAATTTTATTTTTCTATGCTTGATTTATGATTTATGAGGATTCTATAAATGACTTGACGATGTGACTATTTAGGTTTGTGCATAATTTAACTAAGTAAACTTACTGCGAATGGGATATCAAGATGAGTGGATAAATAGATTAGATTTCCTAGTAACTTCTGATATTGTCACCCATCTTTATCAGTTCATTCTTCATCAATGTCCATATCCGATCCTGGTTCAATTGGAGTTTAAATGACTTGCACTTCGTCATCTTGCTCTCTTTGAACAAGTTCATAACATATTTTTGTTGGGATAAAAAATATTCCTTACATAGATTTAGTCACTTATATTCCCAAGGCATAATTGTGTTTTCTTACTCGTTGATTTCAATTTTTTTAGCATTTTTTTTTCTTAGAATCTTTTTTTTTAATTATTATCTTTTGTAACAATCATATTATCAACTTATACAATAAGGATTGAGATTTTACTATAAGAAGAGTATATTATGAAGAGAACATGATATATCCAGCTGTTTTCATAGCCTTGTTTTAGTCCATATGGGGCCTTTTTTTAATTTATATATATAAATCTTTTCTTGAGAAGCTATAACAATTCTAGTGATGAATCCATATAGACCTCTTCTTCAACGTTCCATGCGAGAAAATATTTTTTACGTCATATTGTTATACAAACATCGATGATTTGACGCTAGAAATATTAGAATACAAATAGTATACATTTTTGCAGATTGGGCAAAGATTTCTTGATAATTAATCTTATATATTGAGTATGTCATGACAACTGAGACATTCTACTTTACATTTTATATAAAATCATACAAATCTATTTCTGTACATTATAATTCATCGCAGAATTTATAATTGTTGAAGATATTTATTTGTTCTGTCATATGGCCTGATGTTCTCATGCTTTCAAGTCTACAATACAGATATTAGTCTTCTTTTGTTTATAATGGGTGCAATTGAGAATTTACCTTTTTTAGTATAGTCTTATTTCAATGATGTTCCCGAATAAGCTTCTACTGGGAGAATAAATGATTTTCCTCAATTTGTTGTCAGGATGGTTAAAACATGAAAGTAAGAGATGCTATGATTTGTCTTTGCTATCAATTCTCATTTTGGCGTTCACTACCAGCATTGGAATCATCGGCTATTTGACCATTAGCTTCTTCATGGCAATTTCCTTAACTTTCTTTCCAAGTGAACCCTTCACACATTTTATCACAACTCCTAGGCATAGGCTGGCTTTCAAATTTAGTAAGGACTTGTTGACTTAGATGAGAACTTCATGTTGAAGGACTCATCAACCCACTTATAGGGAGTAAAGCCTTAATGCTTTCAATACCATATTAAACATTAGAATGAAAAAAGAGGAGAATAGAAAATGAGAAATTTCATAATTGCATTTTTTTCCTTTATTCCATGTAAAAAAAATATAAGTGCATAAATCTATAAAAAAAAAAGAAAATAAAAAGTGCATAAATGTCTGGAAAAAACAATTTGGGAAAATATAAATTTAAAAAATCATATTAATTATGGAATCCTTAATTAACTACATAGTATGAATAGAAAGAGATTTGTCAAATATTACTAGATTATTGTCCATGGAAAATTATGTCTACAGGATGTTGGATTGTTGTAAATGGAAAGTTATTGTCTATGAATGACTAGATTGGGACAGATAGAAAAGTACTGGCCATCCGGTGGAGACTAGATCAATTCGTCATTTGCTTAAGAGAAGTTTTTATTGAAGTTCAATATGAAACTTTTGGTAATTATATTGAGATTTATAAGCTCTATTGAATAATTGAAAGCGTAAAAAGAGAAATTCGTTGTATATACATGTAAGCTATTGTTAGTCATATTTCTTTTTATCGAGATATAGACGAACCATATAGGGGTTTTGGCAGGCTTACTCAAAGGCTATCTAACTTATGCTTTATATAAAAATTAAGAAATTCTAATAGCGATGCCTATACTTTGTGATAATTTGTGTCTCTCCGATTTCATCGGTATCATAATTTCTAAATTTATGTGTGAATCAAAATTAAGGAAAGAGAGTTTTCAAATCACAGACCCAAGTCCATTGTGAAATCTTACTTAGTAGAATATGGAGGACCTCATGGCAGATAATATCAATAATTTAAGATTATTTCAACAACATATAACTATTGTTATCAAAGTGCAAAATGCAATGCACTGCGCAAGGCTTTCTTTTTTGCTTCAAAGCACAAAACACAAAATAAAGTGACACTTTTATTAACCAAAGCGTTAATATGTTATATAAGACTAGAAATGTCTTCAATAAATTTTCATTATCTGACATGAATCTTAAGGCTTGACACGGATCTCGGGATAATCTTTTGAGCAGAAAATGTTCAAACTTCGACTAAAGTCAACCAGAGCTCCAATTTCAACAAATAGTCAAACTGACTGGCTCGACGAGATAGACCTAATGATACCAAAATTGATCAAATCCGAGTCAAATCAAGCTCACATCAAGACATTAAATCACTTTTAAAAGCTTTATGGGCATATTTGAAAGGTCAAGTGAACTCCAATCGAGCGAGCCTATAGTTGAATCAAGCATCTCAGCAAGACAAATCCAATGAGCCTAAGATCGCTCAATTATGCATCGTTAAGACACTCAAATGTCCATCAAATGACGTCTGATCGAAGGAATCTCTCGGGGTTGTTCGATTAGAATGATTAATATTCCTTTATTAATTGCAACCGAGACTCTATAAATAGTGCCCCACCCCTCTAATGAGAAGGGGGTTTGAAGTCTGAAGAAAGAGCTTGGAGCTTGGAAAAGTTGGTGAAGTCCAGCACCACTCTTGCAGCCGTCGACAGCCGCCAACCACCACTTGTCAGCCACCGCCCATTCCTTGCAATAAGTTCCTTCTGGCACCGATATTATAAATCGAAAGATTGTGTAAAGTTGTCCCACCTGTGAGACAAAGGACTGTACTTGTAATCATTAGTTTATAGTTCCTTCAGTTAGGTCCTCGTGGTTTTTCCCTTTACATGTTTTTCACGTAAAAACTTCTAGTGTCTCCACAGGTTATTTTCTTTTATCTGAGTGTGTGTTGAATTCTCGTATAACGCTAAGTCAATAATCTATTACTCTACCATAGTAAATTTTCTAGCACACATCAAAACTATTACTGTATAAATTCATTCATGAGAAATTTTAAAGCACAAAGTATAACGTAAATATTGATATAAAATAGAAAAGAATATGACACAATGCCTAACTTTAAGACAAATATTCAGTTAGGATGTTTATTTCTTTTAAAAATTAAAAATTTCAAGTAAAATATTTTGGTATTAATTAAAATTTGCTCTAAAACCTAATCTTTTTTGGTCATCTTCATTTGCTATATAAATGGGTACATACTTTCTAATTCTTATGTATTTACATATCTAAGACCTAAATATAATATATAAAAATTGAAGTTTTGGTGTTTTATATGCAAATCCAGAGGAATTGACAGACATTATCGACTAAATTGAAATTTAGGTTGAAGTCAAAGGAAGACCACAATGTTCGAAGTGCGCTTCAAAATCTAAAGTTGAAGATGATACTTTGCTCCCTTGTGTTCCTCAAACTGTCAAACACGACTATCCTTGCACTCCTTCGAACATCAGATCTAAGCATTTATTTACTCTCAACGGACCAATTGACTTCAACGCTTTAAAGTGCTATTCAACAAATCGAAGCCGGCGTCAAGCGCTTCGCTTCGCTTTACACATAAAGCACGCTTTTAAAATCATTGATAAAGACTTCTAAGGGGCATGCATGGATTGAGATTCTTAGCAAGGAATTCCAATTGGAAGTCTTGAACCATCTTTCTTGGCTTTGTTTTGATCGGGTTTGACACTTTTTACTTGGCTAGACACATTTAAATCACTTGTCCCAATTTTTCTTGAAATTGACCAAGTTCGCATCATTTATAGTGGAATATCAGGGAAAGATGCAACATACACGCAATTTATTTTCTCATTTAGCATCACTTGATTGCTAATATGGCAATCATAATCAAGATGCCTAGCAAATAGAGTTTCCAAAAGGACATTCTTAATCCCTTAGCAAGGGGCCATAAAAAATAAGGAAACTAATAGGTTTATGGTGTTATTTTAACTGGATTAGAATTTGAACTTTAATTTGCTAAAGAAGATAAAAACCATAAGCATAAAGCACAACTAAAATAATTAGGTATTTTTGTTCCTCCGATAATACATAATACATTAATGTTATGAACCCATCTTTGACTGCGCCTACAACAAATTGTTTTTCTTTCTCATCTCAAAAAACTTAAGGTGGCAAAGAATGTTAGCAAAAACAAGTGCAAGCATAGAATTATGCCAAGTAAGCATTCTAATCGCAAAAGCACGGTGCTACAAGAATTTTCCTGTTTCACAATCTTTCTGAACAATTTGTCTTAACTTTAATAGAGTTTCCTCACTGTAGCTCTTTCCTAAGCTAGAAAAAAAACTTAAAGCACTATCCAGGTTTAGCTTTGGCTCAAAATCAATCAGAAGGATATTAAAAACTGGAACTTCATGTATTATTATGCGACAGAATTATGTGTCATCCTTGTGATTCATCAATCATACCTTGCAACGAACTACACCCATCAATGAGCGGTCTGAGAAAGGCTGTTCAAACAGCCCAGCGACAAATTTCACCCTCAGAATCCTCTCCACTGCATCTTCAATCCTAGACATGGGTATCTCCCCGGACTCAACCAAATAAATTAAATCTTCGATAAACTTTTCATATCTGTGAGGCACCATAATCTGTAAAGCTTCTCACTGTCTCAGTAACATGATCTCAAAGAACTAATGCTATGAAAGAACTCAGATTTGAGAAACTTTTATTACCATGTCAATGCCAGCATTGACTGAAGCTGAAATGCAGTAACGGTAATTTGACCCATGTGGCCATGTAAGCCTGTCTATGCCCTCCCAATCCGATATCAGAAAACCCTGAAATACATTCCTCAACATCACAGAACTTGATAATTTGTCTGCTAGAAATCTTTGGTACCCTAGATGAAAAATGTTGTAAAATATAGCAAGCCTTAACTTCAGAAAAGCATGCCATGGCAAAGATGATAAGAAGACTTGAAACTATGCAGCAAATACCTTAAATCCAAGTTTTCCCTTCAGTATATCTGTTAGGAGGTATCGATCAGAGTGTAGTGCCCTCTCATTCCAGCTTGAATAAGATGCCATAATGGTGCAAACCCCCTGATCAAGACAATCAAGATACGGCTTCATATGAACCTTTTCTAGTTGCTCAAATGAACAGTTGGTATTGCCTTCATTTATCCCTCGGTGCGTGCCTCCATCACCAACAAAATGTTTTGCACAAGCAATCACACCCTTGCTGCAGACAAATAAAGATTTGAGTGCTGTGTTTAAACATAAAAGTTTAGGTGTGAGAAATGTAAATTCAAAGGATTGTGTGCCATGCATGCAAACACCCCTATTAATTAACAAGGCATTGTGTACGGTAACTTGAAAAGTTAGCAGAGCAGAAAACGTTTATCACCATTACAAAAGATTGAGGTTCCTCCGTAAAATTGCACATATTTGTAATACTTAAAATATATATATATAGAGATTGATTAGAATGAGAAATATGAAAGAGTGATCTATCAAGCATTTCAATAGGCTATTGAACTGGATAGCAAATAATTTATTTACTGAAGTGAAACAGAAAAATAAGAACAAGGACAGAAAAACTATAAAACGAAAATATTCTTCTAGAAATTCATGTCCATACGTTCCTGCAAGAAAGGGATAGCCTCCAGGGTGGTCGTTAGGCGGCGAACCCTGCAACCCTGAAACAATGGTAGTCATGGTCCGTACAACGTTGGTGTCCTCACTGTAGCTTTCATAGCATCTACCCCATCTTGGGTCTCGACAGACCTAAGTAGACAAGCAAGAAATCACCACATATAATCAAGTTTCAAAATAGTAAACACAAGAAATAGTGACAAACAGGGCAGTAAAAGTATATATCTGTACTGAAGGATTACATGTGTTCCTCGAAATTGAATACTGCAAAGATAACTCTCTGGTGTCCAATAAAATTAGAATCTCAACAAAACAGATTATTGCTTACATATGTAGTTGTTGACACTAGTATCATCATATGGATGACTTACAAGCTTCCTTTTAGGGCTATATATGGTTTATCCCTTGGACAAATATTACGCGACATTGCATTACATTGGCAAGACATAATAAAAATTTAATGAGCAGATGAAAGAGTGATAAGTACTATAGTTAAGGGAGATGGCGGTGGTGAGGCAGGTGAAGAGGAGAATTATGAAGTGGTGGCACGATCATTTGAGTGAGAGGCACTGAGGTTATGATTTGTAGATGAACGGCCATATGAGGGCTTCTCCAAATTACTTCTCTGTGTTAGTTTTTTTTTTTTTTTTCTCACTGTTTCTTCAAAACACCTACAGCACAAGTCATCCAAGGGGATCCGTGACATCATTTAAGAGGAAAAAAAAAACCCACCAGCCTAACTTTGAGGAGGAATTAGGTCATCTGTGGATCAGGATGGGATGTATCAGAGTAATGGGGACATGTTCTTCACAAAATAAGCTACATGTGGCATGGTTGTCCTTATCTAAATCGGGGAAAAAATGTGATTCAGAACTCGTATCTTATCCTTCCCCGATGCTGTTTTTTTCTTTGTTCGATTACTGTTCCCCCTTATTCCTGATTTTGAGTATGCTCTACCCTACATGATGTTTCTTTTTAATGAGTTAATCTTCACGTAAGATTCTTAAAAGTAACACTAACATGCATCTACATTGATGCAGACTAGTATAACGAAGACTATCCGCCGACGGTGTCATCTGCTCTTTCATCAGTTTGCTTAACACTGGGAAATCTTGACCTCTATTTGTGCAAATCTAATTTTATACCTGATGTTAAAATTGAGGTTTCAGAGCTTTGATTTTCATAATTAGTGTGGTAGATGTACACAACCTGACGTGAAAAATTGGACTTCCAAATTAGCGTCGATTCAGATTAGCGTAAAATGTCTTAATGAAGATGATTGCTCAAGTATTCATATACTATTTCTACAGCTTGCTTAGGGCCTGGAAAATCTTTCCTCTTGTTTATGTGAACATTGAGGTCAGTAAATTTTAGATTTCTATAAAAAAGAGTGATGGTTATACACCACTTCAAAATTTACAAAAAATGGATATAAAAAACTTTTGTTGTGCTATCATAAAACATCTTATCCACAAATGTCCAGCAACGCAAATGACATACTGAAGTAGCCAGAAAGATCAGTATAAAGTACTCACAGCAACACATGGGGCGAAGGTGCAGTGAATGCCTGTGGCCCGAACCTCGAGAGCGGTGGCGACCCCGATACGACGCGCCAGCTCTCCATCTCTGGTAGCACCGAGACTAACGTTGTGAGGAAAGATGGTGGCGTTGAGGAGGTTATTGTGACCGTGGACGGCGTCAGTGCAGTAGATGATGGGGATTCCGAGGCGAGAGGCGAGAGCGCAGCGCTGCATGGCATCAACCATGTCGGCCCAGTTGAGGGCCGATGCGAGAGTGTGCGGAGCGCCGCCGGAGCTGAGCACGCTTCCGATGGATAGTTCAGCGAGGGCTGCTGGGGAGACAACGGCCCGCTCGATCTGCGCCATCTGAGCTACCTTTTCCGGAAGCGTCATGCGGGAGAGAAGGTCTTGAACCCTGATCTCAACTGGCTGTTTCGGATCTCTGTATAAGACCTCGCTACTGCTTCTGCTGCCTGCGGTAGCCATTGTGATATATCTAGATGTCCTTCGCCTGGTTCTCGTTCTTCGAGAAAAGCATGAGCGAGGAGCTCGGGGTTCGTTAGGTTAGTTGGATTGGTTTTAAGTTTTTGTAAAACAATTAATGATAATAGCATTGAGCCCATTAAATATACTATGAGAACGGAATAATTAAATTTCAATAATTATATAATTAAATCAAATTATGATTCTATTCATTTGATTTAATTTTTGTTTGTAAATATATTGTGAAGGAATAGAATAATTTTTGAAAATCTTAATTTGATTAGCACAAAATGAATACAATATAAAATTTAATTTTTAATTTCTTTAGGAATTCACTATTATGTTTCATACTTGCTCAACGCTTCGGGATAGGATGTGGATCTAATTTGGCAATGTTTTGTTGTGGATTTGGGCAACCGAAGTTTGAATATTTTTGTCAATATTCAATTACAAGTGGATCAAGTGAGGCTTATTTGCATCTTATCGGGGAAATCTAATTTTGCTCTCGTATGAAGCCACACTTGGCGGTTTTGGTTGGCTTTCAAAACTCAAAATTCACCCACATAAAAGGTTTTTTCTGGTGGAGAACTGCTTTGATGCCTTTTTTTGAAAGGGGCTTCTCGACATATATGTTCTGCCCATGGGGATGTAATATGCCAGAAAATATTGATCGCATCACTTCCAAATGTAAGCTCCTTATTGGGTTAGAAATATAATGGAACATTGGGGTATTTTCATTCTGATTTTCCAGCATTTCGAGGATGGTATACGAGCAGGTTTTTGTTGAACCTATTAATAATCCTATGGGTTCCCTTGTGATCTATTGTAAATGGTTTATCAATGTCGACGTGCAAGGAATGCAAGAAAACACGGTAGACCGTTCAGTCTTGAACCCTTCACATCACCGCATAAATTCTAACTTTAGGATCAATGGGATACTAAACAGTCATGGTTGGATTAAGTTTAATGTTGATGTTGCTCTTATTCACTCCTAAATGGGCTGAATTGGTGTGGTAGTTAGGGATGAGCAAGGTGACATTATTTTGGTGGAAGGCCATCATATTGAGCATTGGGGCAGCACCTTTGTGGAACTTGAGGCGATTTCAGTGGTCAAGAATTTTGTGGTCCCTTGGATGTTTGAGATCAAGCATATTATCATTGAAAGCGACAATCATAATATCATTGCTTCTTTGCAACAAATGATGTGTGCTAACACTTGGAAGAATCAACTGCTTCAGGTAGAAGAGTTCTCATTTGTTTGCTTCCTTTAAGAAAGTCCTCTTCAAACATATAGATTTGAAAATGAAATTAGTTGCTCATACATGTGCAAAAAAGGCCATACATGTTTCTTTTTATGATAGGAATGTTGATAGTTCATATTTCAATTTTCCTTTTGTTGATTTTGACTGGGTCATATTTTGTCGGGCTAGATTTCTTTATTTTTTTATGTGATCCTTTTTGTTAGTAATGCAATTTGCACTTTTCAAAAAAAAAAAACATACAAGTAGAAGAAGGGAGTTATGTAGCAGTCTAGGGGCGTGCTTTGACTGTCATGGGTAAGCATCTGTCGATCATCCAGTACACTAACCCCCTTGTTAGTGAACTGGGTGTTGAACCCCGCACAATTTGTTGCAATGACTCCTGCACTGTGGGCCGCTTATAATGAGGCAGATCAGAAGAGGTAAATTGAAAAGGCCGTGTAGTTGTCATAGGAGTCAAGGAAGAAGAAGGGCACCACTTCCACCTTCAGGAGGGAAAGGGAAGAGGAAGAGGACGATCAGACATATAGTATAATCCCAAGTTCAGAATTAATTCACTCTATCTTTGAAACCAATAGGATAGTCCCATGTTTGGAATTAATTCACTTTGTATTCAAAACCACGGTTATCATTTGAAGGACTATCACTGGTGGATTTATTCGGATCGAGCGAACTCCATCTTTGATGAGCTTAAGGACTTCGAGGGATTGCCGCCAAGAGGAGCCGACGTCTAGCATAATTAGATCAGAAGTTGAGGGATCCTTAGAGTGACTGTTGCTCCAGGGAGCTTCCCGACTATCTTCCTCGGGTCCCCTTTCTGAAAGAGTGGAGGCAAGTTGGCTTTCCCATGGTCGCCAGCTGCACCGGCATAATAGGAAGAAGCGAAAAGCCTAAAAGAAAGTTCAATTGAAGAGGAGGAGCTTGAGTTGGTGTCGATTCGAGAGCACGCACCAACCATTTCTGAGGAAGAACAATCTCGAAGGAAGGGCAAGGCTCTGACTCAAGATTCTGACTCTTCCCTCCCTTTACCTCCCAAGAAGAAACATAAGGGAGGTAAAGATTACTGGAGCTTGCTGCAAGAGAGTCAGTTGAATCTCTTTCTCAGCTTGGACTCTAATTTTTCCCTAATAAATTTCTCGAGGTACTGGTTCTCCCAACCCTCAGGGACGGACGGGCACGCCTCGACCATCTCCAATGTGTGATGGTTAGAGGGCCTACAAAAAGCTCTTGAATAACCTTTAGTCCAGAGATATTCGTCACATGGTTGATCGAAATTGTTTCTGGAACTCACGACCACACATCACATATCTTCTCTGTATCTTGAAGTGAGGGACAGTGCCTTGAAAGCATAGATGAAGGCCAAAGAGTTCAAAGCACGAGCTAGGGCTGCGGAGATTTGGCGGTCTTGGCAGATGCTCGGCTAGAGGATGTTGAGGCAGAGTTTGAGATCGCGTCGGAGTGGATGTCCGTCATCCACATAGGGCTGACAATTTGTCTCGTTGTTCGCGAACAGCTCGTGTTTGGCTCGTTAAGTAGCTCCCGTTCGGCTCATTCGTTAAGCCTAACGAGCCGAACATGAACAAATTTTTAAGCTCGAAATGTAAATGAGAACACGAACAAAAGTTTGTTCGCTCGTGTTCGACTCGAATTGGTTCGAAAATAAATAAATAAATATATACATAATAAATATTCATAAAATTAAATATTATAAATAATAATTAATTAAATTTTTCTAAAAAATAAATTATCACATTTTATAAAATCAAATCCTATAAATTATAATATATAATAATTTATTACTATTAACATTTCAGTATTAATTATATAAATATTATGTATTTATATAACAGAATAATAAATGTTAAATAATTAAATTATTTTAAGATCTATATACTACATAACGAAAAAAACCCAAACTCTCGAAACTTCTCGCATTCGTTCGGCTGCCTCTCCGAGTCTCTTGCGACTACTCCTCTGCCAGTCTGCCTCGGGGAAAAAATTTGGGTACATAAGACGCACGCAGCGCTGCGCGCGATAGCAAATCACCGGAAGACACGTCGGCTCAGTCGGTCCCACCGCTATAAAAATATACTTTTTACCGTGCGTGACCCGTCGACCCGACCCGTCATTGTAAGCCCCATGTAATCCCGATGTAAACTCCGCTGTCCACCCCATGTACCGCGCGTGTAAGTCCCATGTAATCCCCATGTAAACTCCGTTGTCCGCACCATGTACCGCGCGTGTAATCCCGATGTAAACTCCGCTGTCCGCGTCATGTACAGCGCTTGTAATCCCGGTGTACGCCCGATGTAACCTTCGCTGTCGACAAAGGATGTAATCCCGGTATACATTCCGCGGAAAAGCCATTGTAACCAGCGTGTACCATCTTTGTACAGCCGGTGGAACATTCCGAATGCG